TGCCCAACTTGCTGTGGCCCCCTCAGTAGACCTGGGCTCAGTCAGACTGGAAGGGCTGAAGGAACAGGACAGGGGTGCACGGGCCAAGTCTGGGAGGCCCCATGGCATGGGGGTTAAGGAGGCTCTGGAGTCAGACCTGACTTCAAAACGACGCTACCACTTCCCAAACCCTGTCCTTCTTTGAATTTCCTTGTCTGCAAAGTGACTTCACAACCTCAGAAAGCTTTTGAGAAGAAGAGAAAGATAACCCACTAGTCAGAGCACTTGGCACCTGTAAGCCTCAATAGATGGTAGCTATTCTCACTTTAGGCAGGGTCTTTTCCTCTGAGGGAAAGTGCTGTGCAGATGTGAGAACACTCATTTTGCACTCAGTGTAAAAGTGATTGCACTGTCCCCATGTTATAGGTAAGGAACCTGAGGCTCAGAAGTTAAGAGGCTATCAGAGGCCACACAGCTAGAAGAAAAAGGCTCTGCTTGATTTCTAAGCTTAGACTTTTCCCTCTGCCGTTTAGACCCTGCTCCTTCCTCCTTCCTCCTTCCTGGGGGTTCCCTGGCCCCACCCACTGCGGAAGAAGAGGCCCTGAAGCACTAAAGGCAGAGCCCTGGGGGCTCTGGCAGCAATCTGCTGGTGCTGGTGAGCCAGGCCTCAGGTCTCCTGCCGCCAACCCCTCCCCTCCCTGCCACTGCTCCTGCCCTCCTCTCACTCACCCTCTGCACAGCAAGGGCTGGACTCAGTTACTGTGAACTCACCCTAGCACCAAGGTTGCTTGAAGCCTTCCATGTGATCAGAACAGAGTGCTTTACACTTGGCCTTTCCCATCCAAACTCTGGTCCTTGGTCACATCCTCAGGCCAGACCAAGGTCCCCTCTAGCCCAGCTCACTCCTTGATCCATTCATTTAGCAAATACTTACGTCTCTCCCTTCACAGGGCACAATACTAACCAAGGCCCTGCCCTTACGGTACTTACTGATCACGTGGAAAAGTCACACCTGGATCATGGAACATGGGGTGTGTGCTGAGGCTAAGGCAGGCAGAGCAGCTGGGGAGGCCTGGAGTCAAAGAATGAGTAGGAGCCCAGTAGGAAAAGCATTTCCAGAGAGGGAACCACTTGGGAGAGAACCTGGGAGGCAGACAAGACTTCCTGAGTCCACTGGGGTTGGTTTCACCTCTTCTCTTTCAATGCTGAGAGGCCGCACAGACACCCGCGCATCAGGCTCTGTCCTCACTTTGTCCCTGCTCTTCACCCACTCCTCCTGGTGACCTGACAACACAGTGTCCTGCCAGGACAGGCCCCTCTGCAAACTGTGCTCCTCACCCTATCACACTCTGAGCCCCAGATCCACCCCCAGGGCCCCAGGAGTCCAGCCTCCCCCAGCACAGGAGAATTGGACCCTGGGGGAGAGGGAATGGGCCTCTGCGGTCCTGGGGCTTCACCTCTCCCGCCCCCGCTCAGGGGAAGAGGAACCAAGCTGCCTTTGCCTGTCTGATTCTCCGCGCGTTTCTCTAGATCTCAGGCTTTCGGTCTCGCCCTCCCGTCCCAGTTTCTCTCTCCCTGTCTCTACGGGTCTCTGGATCTCTTTCTCCCAGCCTCTCTCCCCGTCGTCACTCTCTCCCTCCCGGTCTCGGGCCCCGTCTCTCCAGTCTCTCCCTCCCGAGGCCGGGCGGGGGAAATCGCTCCGTAAATAGGCGGATGGCCCCGGGCGCTCCGGGCGCAGACACTCGTTTTTAGAGCCGGTAATTGACTCCTTTCAGTTGATAATTCATGGCTTGCATATGCGCTTTAATGCGGGCGCCCGGGGAGGGCGGCGGGCGGGGCGGCCAGTGCGCGGAGCTGCGAGCGACGGAGCGGCCAGGGAGCCAGCCTGTCTCAGGGCGGGTTGCGTCCGGCCGTCTGTCCGTCAGTGTGCGGGCGGGGAGGGCCGCCTCCGCCGGGTCTGTCTGTCCGGCCTACGGGAGACCTGGCGCGGGGATATACCCGATCGCGGTGGGTGGGGCACAGAGTCCCGGACAGCCGCTGGGCAGCGAAGCGAGGCTGACCGTCAGAGCCTTGGAACTGAATGGGGAGGGGACGGACACCCCTTCCCCTTGCAGCCAAAGGGGAAACTGAGGCCCAGAAAGGAGATAGGTCTTATCTGCATCCCACAGTGCAGAAACTGGACCAGAACTCAAAGGGTCCTAGTCAGGGGCCTCAGTCCCAGCCTTTGTAGAACCAACCACCCCCTCCCCCCCGGGAAATTTCCTGTTACTGAGCTAAACTCCTCCCCATGAGTGAACCAACCTCAGGCTCTCAGACTGGCTTCCCCAGGAGGAGCTGGCTCTTCCCTGGGAATTCTGGACACAGACTCCTAGACCTGAACCAGCCTCTATCCCCATTGTGACTCCCAGGCTGAGGAGGGGCAGCCCATGTCCTCTTCCACCTGGCCGTCACCTTCTGTGGATGTCTCATCCTGAGGCCGTGTCATATGTAATCATTATTTCCATCTTACAGAAGAAACTGAGGCTCAGAGAAGCTGGGAGACTTGCCCAAGGCCTCGGAGGAGGCAGAGCCGGAACCTGGACATGTGGACACTCAGATGAAGCCCTCCACGATGGAAGTATTGATGGAGTGGGAAGGGGAGAGGGATGCGTTGCCCTGTCCCTGGAGGTCCCATATGCACCCACGCAGGCCTCACAGAAGCCCCTATGAAGAAAGGCTCTGAGGAAGCCAATGACCTGCCCACAGTCACACAGACCAGGGAGTGATTTCAGCTGAAGATGGTGCTGGCAGGAAGTGAGAGATTAGAGGTCAGCACAGGAGATGGAGCTGGGACTGGGGAGAAAGGCAATTGTTGACCCCAAACGTAAGCTCAAGAGAAATGAGAGAAGCCCAGCCTGTAGGGAAGTCTTGCCCAGAATGAGGTTTCCCACTTTGCCCCTTGGGCTGGTATCTGCCACTCCCTTTCCCCAGGCTGATTTCAGCCAAAAATAGGATTCTGCCCCCATCTCCTAAAATCTGCAAATGCACCTGGCTTATTCCTGGTCCTCCAATCTCATCTCCACCCGCTAGTTTCCTGATCTTCGATCTGCGCAATGGAGTTAAGTCTGGGAAAGACCTGATGACGGGAGGCGGCCAGGTAATGTCTGGACTGTGTGAAGCTCAATGCTGCCCCCTGGTGCCCAGACTGGTGCAGCCAGCGGGACGCAGGGAAAGGAGGCAGGAGGCACTTGAGATAGAAAACCTCTCTGCCCCCCACATCTCTGAGCCTCTTAGACCTCCCTTTTATGGGGGAGGAAGGACAGAGTAGGAGCCAGCCCTACGAACCCTGACTGAGGGGGAACCATGAGGAACCTTCTCCAGCAGAGATCTCAGACTCTGCAGTAGAGCCTGGAGAGAGAAGGAGGCCATGGTGAGGTCAGCAATAGCCCTGTCCAGCCTACACCTGAACAACCCAAATGATTCCTTCTATTGTAAGTAGAGTCAGGGCTGCCTTTCTGGTGTGATTCCTGGGGTCTCCATCTTAGTTAAACTCAGGCCTTTTTCTGCCTAAAATCCCATCATTTGTGTTCAGAGGAGGTACTCAGCAAATGTAGGACAGATGGATGGATGGATGGATAGATGAATTCCATTCATCTGCATTAAGATATTATCTCCTGGGCTTCCCTGGTTGCGCAGTGGTTAAGAATCCGCCTGACAATGCAGGGGGACACAGGTTCGAGCCCTGGTCCGGGAAGATCCCACATGCCGCGGAGCAACTGAGTCTGTGCGCCACAACTACTGAGCCTGCGTGCCACAACTAGAAGCCACCGCAGTGAGAAGCCCGCACACCACGCAGCAACGGAGACCCAATGCAACCAAAAAATATATATATTATCTCCAGGAAATCTGGGCTATCAAACACAGGGAGGAATGAGTTCATTAGTTTGCCAGACTGATTGGAACTAGGGCTACAAAGAGGAACGGGATAGAGGAAGGGGAAGTTTTGATGGGGGAGAACCTCAAGAGAGTTCAGGTGGAGGGAAGATCATGGGGAAGTTGGAGGGCTCAAATAAGGCTTCCTGGAGGAAGTGGCATTTGAAACAGGGCTTGAAGGGCAGAGAAAACCGTGGTGATGTTTATGTAAAGAGAACAGTATGAACAGAGGCAGAAGCACCCTTTGTGCTGGCAAGAAGGCTCCCATTTGAGGGAATGGGGAGAGGCTGTGCTATGGTGGAGCCATGCCATAGGAGGCTGTGGAGGCCCTCAGGAGGTGCTGGGTGTCAGGCCAAAAAAATCAGCAGCTGGGGGACTTCCCTGGTGGTGCAGTCGCTAAGAATCTGCCTGCCGATGCAAGGGACACAGGTTCGAGCCCTCGTCTGGGAAGATCCCACACGCCGCGGAGCACCTAAGCCCGTGTGCCACAACTACTGAGCCCACGTGCCACAACTACTGGAGCCCACGTGCCTAGAGCCTGTGCTCCACAGCAAGAGAAGCCACCACAATGAGAAGCCCCCGCAACACAACTAAGAGTAGCCCCTGCTCCCCGCAACTAGAGAAAGCCCATGCACAGCAACGAAGACCCAATGCAGCCAAAAAAAATAAATAAAATAAATAATTTTTTTTTTTTTTAATTAGCAGCTGGACTGTGAGCAGGGTTTAAGTCCCAACACAGGGTCTGTTCTGACTCTGCTTCACTCCCTTGGCCTTGCTCTATGTAACTTTCTCTAGAAAGCAGTGGGAGCCATGGCAAGTTCTTGATCAAAGAAGTGCCTAGGAATCACAGCTCACTAATAGTCAAGTACTGGCAGGTACCATGTACCTCATCAAATCTAACCCCCTCAATCTGTAGATGAGAAAACTGAGGTCCAGAGAGGGGAAGTAACTTGCCTAGCATTGCACAGCAAGCCAGTAGCAGAGCCAAGACTTGGACCCAGGTCTCCAACCCCTCAGTTTGGGGCTCCTTCCCCTCTGCTGCAATGTGGGACAGCATCTTGGGGACTGAGCTGGAGGAGAGCAGCTGGAGGCAGAAGAGAACCCGGAGGCTACAGCCCCACCTCCCCACCTAGACCAGAGATCACGAGGCTGGCCAGTCAAAACGTTTATTAAGCACTTCATCCTGCTCCCTATCTTGGGATAATCTGGGGTGTCTGTATTGAGCAGACACACAGAGGGATAACAAAGAAAAACTCTGGTGGGCTTCCAGGAGGAGGAGAAATGAGGCAGATCTGGTATTCATGAGAAGGAAGGGACATCGAGAGCAGACTTAAGTGAGGATGTAGAAAGGCCTCCAGGAGAAGGAGTGTCTTGTCACTTGGATTCCCTGTGCTTCTTGACCAAGGCCTCCACCTCCTTCATGAACTGGAGACACAGTTCCTCTTCTCGTGGCAAAGCGGTGCCCTGCACAGCCGCCGAAAGCCCCACAGATCCTCTCACCACCTGCATAGAGAGAGGGTCTGTGTACTCAGAGCCTGCTTCCTGCTCACAGACCCCTTGTCCAGCCTTCCTCACCACCTTCAGGTGTGCATTAATCCAAATATCTCACCCCCAGTCTATATTAAGGTAGAGATGTCCTGGATCTTAGATTTCCAGGCTTCCTCAGCTCTCAGCAGAACCTGGGAAAACAGTTCTGCTTTGGCTACAATTCTCCAGGGTTAAGATATAAAACTTGCTCCCTATGTAGAGAGCTGACTATAAGGATGAAATATAAAATATATATAAAATATAAAATCCACCCCAGTGTTCTCAGCAAAGGAAAGAAGAATGTGCAAACCCCTGACCCAGAGTCTCATTACACTTCTGCAATGAAAGGGGTGCCTTGACCCCAAACACAGGCCCAGGAACATAGGGGCTGAGCCTGAGTCCCTGCCATGAAATCCAAGCATAGTCGCAGGCATTCAAACATGTTTTCATTGCTTTATGACAATATCATATAAGCCCTTATTTGCCTTTGTCTCTGGAGCCAGGTCACACGGCTTCAAGTCCTGGCTCCTTCACTTCAGCTGGGTGTGTGGCTTTGGTCAAGTCCCTTAACTTGTCTGTGCTTCCATTTCCTCATTTGCAAAACCTCACAGGACAGTTATGGGATTTAATGATTTAATATATATACAGCACTTTTAAACAGCTCTTGGAACAGAGTAAGAGCTCAAAACACATTAGATAGTATCATTATTGTTATCTTCTCAGAATTCAGGTCAGCAGTTCCACTGGGTAACTCTAGCACTAAAATCAATTTCCAGAAAAAATAAGTTACTTAATGTCTGACTCAGACACATGCATACTTTTCAGAGCCAGTCTCTCTCTTTCCCTCTCTCTCTTCCTCTCTCTCACCCAAGTCAGGGTTGTTATTTTAAACCATGAATTAAATAGGTCCATAGAAATATTTCCTTTGTGAAGCCCTCTCTGAATTAGTAATAGTAGCATTTATTGAACACTTCCTACATACAAGGCATTATGTTAATTGCTTCACTCTTTTTCCATTTAAACTTTAGCACAATCCCGCAAGGTAGATGTTTTAAATCCCGTTTCCCTGGGGAAGAAACTGAGGCCCAGAGAGGGTCAGTGTCCAGTTCAGTTACAGAGTAAGCTCCTAACCAGGGACCTTCGCCCTGCTCCGCCTACCCTGCCTCTGGGATCGACTTTCCCTACAGAAGTGTTAAGGAAACCACTGCTTTTGCAAAGTATTCTCCCCTGACAAGGACAGAGGTTGACTTGGAGGTCAAATAGTGTGTCAGGGATGGAGCAAAACTGCATCCGAAGTCATAAAGGGTAAACACCAGGAATGAACGGCCCCACCCCAACAGGGAGAGAGGCAGAGAGGGAAACTGACCTCTTGGAAATCTTTTTCGGAACGATCTCTGTAGTAGCCCCTGTAGAAGGCCAGTTCCTCCTCATCCTGTAGCATCACGGTGGTGACGGGCACCACACCGGCAGGGAAATTCAGGATGTTGTACAGGGCCAGGTAGGAAGATCTACCTGTAGGAAGATCCAGGTAAGCCCAAAAAATTATCTGCTCAGAAAAGACTCAGGGGGAAAGTATGTGGGTGAGCACTCCCTCAGGGTCCTTCTTGGAACTGCAGCCCTCTGCTTGTAATAGCCAGTTCAGTGCAGGGGGTCAGCCTGACCGCTATCTCCTGCTCCCCACAGTGGAGGGAAGGAGAAAATCAGAATCCACTCTGCACACATGGCCAAAACGCACATGAAAAGATGCCCAACATCACTAATTATTAGAGAAATACAAATCAAAACTACAATGAGGTAGCACCTCACACCAGTCCGAAGAGCCATCATCAAAAAATCTACAAACAGTAAATGCTGGAGAGGGTGTGGAGAAAAGGGAACCCTCTTGCACTGTTGGTGAGAATGTAAATTGATACAGCCACTGTGGAGAACAGTATGGAGGTTCCTTAAAAAACTAAAAATAGGACTACCATACGACCCAGCAATCCCACTACTGGGCATATACCCTGAGAAAACCATAATTCAAAAAGATACACGCACCCCATTGTTCATTGCAGCACTATTTACAATAGCCAGGACATGGAAGCAACCTAAGTGTCCATCAACAGGGGAATGGATAAAGAAGATGTGGTACATATATACAATGGAATATTACTCAGCCATAAAAAGAATGAAATAATGCCATTTGTAGCAACATGGATGGACCTAGAGACTTTCATACTGAGTGAGGTAAGTCAGATACAGAAAGACATCATATGATATCATTTATATGTGGAATCTTAAAAAAAAAAAGGATACAAATGAACTTATCTACAAAACAGAAGTACAGTCACAAATGTAGAAAACAAACTTATAGTCACCAGGGGATGGGGGGTCAGGGATAAACTGGGAGATCGAGATTGACATATACACACTACTATATATAAAATAGATAACTAATAAGAACCTGCTGTATAGCACAGAGAACTCTATTCAATACTCTGTAATAGCCTATATGGGAAAAGAATCTAAGAGTGGATATATATATAACTGATTGTTATTATATATAACTGATTCACTTTGCTGTACACCTGAAACTAACACAACATTGAAATCAACTGTACTCCAATAAAAATTTTTAAAAAAAGAATCCGCTCTGCAAAGCCTTACTCAAGTGCCAGGCACTGTGCTCCCCTCTCTGTGTTGCTGAGTCCTTGACTCCTCTCCACCCCGTGAGATGCGGATTACTATCCCGCATGTACAAATGGGAAACCGAGGTGGCAGGCAGGTACACAGGTACACAGCTAGTGGGCGGCAGAGGATTCAGCCATGCCCTCAAGTACATGGGGCTCCAAGAGGGCTGGAGTGTGCAGTGCAATCCTGAGTTGAAAAGGCAGCTCCTCCCAGCAGCCACCTGTGTGCAGGGAGTGAGCATCAAAGCAGCAGTGAGGTGGACAGAGGGCACTAGAGCAGAGCCAGATGTGGGGTGTGCCTTTGGGCAGCCACGTGGGGGAACCCAGAGGAGAGGACTCCAGGCTTGAGGTGGGTTTGCATTCTGCATGGTATCACCTCTGAGACCTGCACCTGCGCTGGGGATGGGTTGCTGCCCTGTGCTGAGGCTTGCATTTGCAGGTGGCCTGGGCTGAGGCCGCCTTTGTAAGTGAGGCAGCAGAAAGCATGTTAAGAGTGAATGGGGGGGACTTCCCTGGCAGTCCAGTGGTTAAGACTCTGCGCTTCCACTGCAAGGGGCGCGGGTTCAATCCCTGGTCAGGAAACTAAGATCCCAAATGCCATGGGGCCAAAAAATAAATAAAAACGTAACATTTGAGGATTTCCCTGGTGGTCCAGTGGGTGAGACTCTGCGTTCCCAATGCAGGGGGCCCGGGTTCGATCCCTGGTCGGGGAACTAGATCCCACATGCATGCCGCAACTAAGAAGTCTGCATGCTGCAACTAAAAGATCCCGCATGCCGCAACTAAAGATCCCGCATGCCGCAACTAAAGATCCCGCATGCCGCAAGGAAGATCCCACCCATGTGCTTCAACTAAGACCCAGCACAGCCTAAATATATAAATATTTTAAATGTAATATTTTTTTAGAAAAAGAGTGAATGGATATGCTAAGAGAAAGAAGTCAGACCCCCAAGCCTCATACCTCATGATTCCATTTATATGAAGTCCTAGAAGAGGCAAAACCGTAGTGACAGAAGGCAGACCAGTGGTTGCTGGAGGTAGGGGTGGGGTGAATTGCAACAGGACATGAGGGAAATTTGGAGGATGATGGAAATAGTCTATATTTTGATTATGGTGGTGGTTATACATGTGTATGTACATTTGTTAAAATTCATCAAGTTACTCAAAATTGGTGAATTTTATTGCATGTAAATTATACTCCAATAAAGTTCATTTAAAAAGTGAATGGAGGGAATTCCCTGGTGGTCCAGTGGTTAGGACTCCACGCTTCCACTGCAGAGGCCACGGGTTCGATCCCTGGTCTGGGAATCAAGACCCCACAAGCTGCAGGACGCGGCCAAAAGAAAACAGAAAAAAAAAAGTGAATGGAAATTGGGAGTGAGTGCTAACAGGTACAGGGTTTCTTTTCAGGACGATGAAAATGTTCTGGAACTAGATAGTGGTGGTGGTTGCATGACATTCTGAATATACTAAAACCCACTGAGTTGTACGCTTTAAATGGTGAATTTATGTAATCTGAATTTTTTCTCAACTTAAGAAAAATTTTAAAATAGTGAATAGCATCAGAGGTCAAGGCCACAGAGGCTGTGGCAGGACTCAAAGGTCCTGGACTCCTAGTCTCACCCACCCCACCCCCGCCAAGACTCAGTGCCCTCTCACTTGATGCCATGGCAGGATAGCCGATATAGTAGGCAGGGTCTCCAGAGCTGGTGCCAGCAACATGTCCAGGTCCAGGGACATCCACTTGGCTATGAACTCTTGCTGATATTCCTGCAGGGATAGTGGTGGGCAGGAGGGTAAGACTGGCAGAGGTCAGTGTTTTCAGGACAAGGTCAGGTGTTGCCAGGCCGAGTCAGCTTAAACACCAGGAAGAATTTCCAGGCTGTGAGATGCAGACTGAGATGGGGGCAGGACGGGGGGATGTCAGGGTCTTCCCAGGGGCCAAGGCGAAGGGATGGGAAGGGGAGACTGAAGCTACAGTGATTTGGGGACAATGCATCAACCTGGCCCCAGGGAGGCAGACTACATTAACCTCCTAGGTCACCATCCTAGTGCAGCTGGGCATGCCCTGCCGGCCAAGACAGAGATCTACCTCCTGTTGGGCTACTCCTGTCATCACTCAGGTGCCTGCTGCCCCTGTTCCGGCAGTCCCTCAAGGCCTCCCCAGGCATGCATCGCCTCCACCGCTGTGTGCTGCTCTCACAGTTTCTTGGGTGTCCTTGGGTGTCCTTGGGGAATGGGGAAGACTGAGAAGTCCAAAGGTCAGCACGGGAGGACTCCTTTTCATACAAATGGGGACAAGACACCCAGGAGGCAGGGTCTGGCCTCAATGCCGGCTGCGTATCAGTTGGCAGCCGCTACAGGGAATCACCCTGTATCTTGTCCCCTGGCCAAGACACCTTGCCTGTCCAATGTTCCCAAGAGTACACATCCCCTGATCAGAGCCCTACCACCACCACCGGCCAAAGGGACCCACAGTCCCCCTCAAAACCACAGGTTCCCTCCCCTAAACTGCGAGGCCCCAGGTCAGCCCTCAGGCTGCTCCAGCCCCGATTCCAAACAGCACCTCAACTCCAAGCACACCAGGCCAAGCCCAACAGCAAGGCCAAGCCCAAACCAGCCTCCTCTCCCAGCCACATCCCCACCACAGTTCCAACCTTAACCCCAACCCAAACCCAAACCTAACCTCAACTCAGGCCCAGCCTTTATCCCAGCTTAACCCAATTCTAGCACGCACTCAGAGCTCAACTCCAAATCTAACCCCAGCCCCGGTCCCAGCCACACTCAAAAGTCTAAATCTAACCCCATGTCAGGCATGACTCTAAAACCCTAATTAGATCCCAAAGTCTAAACAGCCCTGTCCCCAGCAGACAAGCCCCCCCACCAGCCACGTGACCCTCATCCAATCCCCATGGAAAACCCTTGTGAGCTGGACCTGAGGAGACTCGACTACTCACCCCACTCCACGAATCTCTTCCAAATTCTGGCCAGTCCGGGGCTCCCAGAGGTGGGGAGAGAGGGGGAGACGGACTTCAGAAACCACAGGGCAACACCAGCCTGCCCGGGACGGGGGTCCAGGAAGAGCAACTCTGCTCTGCTCGTCCCTAAGCCCCTGACCACCGCACCAAGCCCTGGGCCCCCTCTAGGTCCCACCCGCTCTAAATCCCCTTCCCTCTCACTGACACTCCCCCTCGCTGAGCCTCTCTGAAGCCCCTCCCCTCTCTGAGAGCACTCCTCTCTTTTGGCCCCATCCCCCCTCTTTCAGTTCCTCTCCTGTTGAGCCCTTCTCTGAACCACCATATTATCCGGGCCTCCTCTTCCTCTCTGACCCGACCTCATCCCCCTGGGAGCCCCTCCCCTTTCTGAGCCCCTGTCCTCTCTGGGCCCCTTCCCCCCTGAGTCCCTCCCGCTCTGGGCCCACACTCACTGTGTACTTCAGGATCCAGGCCAAGAAACACTTGAGTGGGTCTGGCAGGCAGAGCTGGCTGACCATGTCCTTCATGTTGGGGTCCACAATGTCCCCCTTACTGAGGAACCACAGACACAGAGCTGGTCAGTTACAGCCTTCAGCCGCCAGCTGGCTCCCACCGCCCAGCTTCCCCTCGGTAGATAAGCCACGGAAGGAGGTCAGACCCAAAGAAACACTCTGCTCCCACCAGCACCACCCCTGGAATGTGTGCATCCTGAAGACGGGGCCTGAGTGGGTGACTCGCTGCATAAGGTCACACAATTAGCCAGAGGCATCCCACCAGCCCAGGCCCGCAGCTCCCCTCCTAGGGCTCAAGCTGCCACCAGCCCCCTCCCCATTTCCACCCTGCCGCATATCTGAGCCCCAGCAGATGTACACCTTCTCCAGAAGAGTGGCCCCTCCCTCAGCAAACGGACCCCCGCCCTACAGGTGTAAGAAGGCATACACGGCGCGGCGGTAGCGAAGGGGATGACCTGGGGAGACACAGGCCGAGTCAGGGCCTGGAGCTCGTCCTGCTCTGCCCTGTGTTCTCTCTGTATCCCTCAGGATTTAGAGAGAGGGTACCACCTCACCCCTCACCTCCATCCACCTCAGCCCCGCAGCAGGGCGTGAGAAGCCTCGTGCCATGCCCACTCCCTCAGCCCACACAGAGATGAGACAGAATTCGAGATGCCTATTTAGCTGTGACCCTGCCCCTTGCCAAGTGCTTTACTGTGAGCTCACTTAACCTGCACAGCCACCCGGTGTGGTAGAAACCTGAGGCTCACGGGGGTGAAGAGACTGGCCGGGCAATTCTCAAAGGGGAGGCAGGGCAGGGAGGAGCCACCGGGTGTGGGAGGTGGGGGAGGGGGGATTTTGAGGACACAGCGCTCCTTACAGCCATTTGATGGAGGCAACAGAAACCCCTGGCTATGGGAATCATAGGCGTGAGCCCCAGAGTCCCCACCACCGAAGGGGGATGCCTTCCTCACAGGGTGGGGCCCACCCTGCTCCCACCTCCACCCCATCAGTCTTCTGGTCCAACCTCTTCATTATACCAGTGTGGAGACTGAGGCCTAGAGAAGAGACGTGACTTGGCCAGGGTTACCTAGAGGCCTAAAGGCCCAGCTTCACTCGATACCAGGCTCTCTAAACCACACTTGCTGAGTACGCTGTGTGTGTGTTGGGTATATGATGCTGGAGTCCCTCCCTCTCTGGGGGTGATATCTTCTACGGCTCAGGGCGGCAGAGAAGCCAAAGCAGCGGGCATCCGGCAGACTGACTGAGCATGTGGGCTTCCTGCTCACTGCACCCTGGGCTGAGAAAGGAGGGCTTCACAGGGGATGGTCAGACAGAAGACCCGCCAATGAGGAATGAGGGGCGGGGGGAGGGAGCCCTCCAGGCCTGCCCCCCATCTGGCTCACCTCCTCCCTGAAGGGCAGGGGGGGCACGGTGGGGTGCAGCGGGTGCACGAGTTCAATCAGCAGCGCTCGCAGGCACAGCACCAGGCTCTTCACGTCCCGGGCCACGGGGCCAGCCGCTGTGGTCACTGCACAGAGGGGACGGAGGGAGGCAGATACACCGCATCCTTTCTGCTCTGGGGACCCCCACTGCCTGGCCTCGGAGGGTGGGACCCAGGGCCATGATCAGGGCAAAAGGAAGAGGCCCTGGGGCCAACCTGGGTCAGGGGTTGAGGACGGGTGGAGTCGGCAGACTGGCTAAAGCGACTCTAGTGCCTGAAAGGAGACCCTCATCTGGGGCAGAACATGAAGAGACTGCTAGGAGAGGTTAAAGCACCTCTCAGTGGGGCAAGAGTCACTGGACTAGGGAGCCACGCAGAACCTTCTCCCAGATTCCTTGATCACCAGTGGGGCCAGTCTGTCTGAGATACAGGACAAGTGAAATGTCCTTGGAGAAAGGCAGGCAGGTTTGTCTTTGAATGGATGTGGCCAGAGGCGGACAAGACCTCACCTGATTTCCTCCCCTCGACAGCATAGGCAACTCCGGAGTACCTGCAAAACCCCACCCACCCAGAGCCCAGCTCAGCACCTGAAGGGAAGGACTTGGGTGCCAAAGAGGCTTGAGCACCCAGCCAGTGCACTCCCCCGGGACCCAGCACACAAGAATGGGAGCTATTTCAAACCCTCCCATGACTTTCTACTGCCCGCAGCATAAATCTGAGCTCTTTGACTGCCCTTCAAGGCTCTAAACTATCAACTCCTTCCATAACTTCCCCTTCTAGCCTTTCCACACACCCATATTGCTCCAGGCAAAATAGGCTGCTTACAGAATTACAGCCTTCTAGATGCCTCTCCAGCTCTGCATGTCCATCCTTCAAAACCAAGCTCAAGCGACTTCCCTGGTGGCTCAGTGGTTAAGAATCCGCCTGCCAATGCAGTGGACATGGGTTCAATCCCTGGTCCAGGAGGATCCCACGTGCTGCGGAGCAACTAAGCCCGTGCACCACAGCTGCTGAGCCTGTGCTCTGGACTCCATGAGCCACAGCTACTGAGCCCATGTGCCACAACTACTGAAGCCCATGCGCCTAGGGCCTGTGCTCCGCAACGGGAGAGGCCACTGCCATGAGGAGCCTGCGCCCAGCAACAAAGAATGGCCCACGCTCTTCGCAGCTGGCGAAAGCCCGCGTGCAGCAACGAAGACCCAATGCAGCCAAAAATAAATTAATTAATTAATTAATTTTAAAAATCCAAGCTCAAACACTGCCTCCTCCAGGAAGCCTTCCCTGCCTTTGACCTGCCTCTGAAAGTTTAAAATCTAGACTTTTAATAAATCTCTGTCGAAGAAAACGTCAGCTTCATCCTGGATTTGAGGCTCTCTCAGAGCCTCGATCAGTTGCTGACTAAGCCATCCGGACGTCTGAGAGCACAACAGGGGCTATAGGTCTGAGAGTGTCCTGGGTCCCCATTACAGGGCCCGCACAATGTAGGTACTCAGAGTGGGGTTGAAGGATAGGCGGAGGGGTGGCTAGATGTACGGATGAATGCACGATAGATGGAAAGATTAATGGAAATACGTATGGAGAGGTGGGTGGGTGGATGGATGAATGGAGGCACATATGGATTGATTGATGACCAGTTGAGTGGATGGATGGAGAGATAAATGGGTGAATGGATGAATGAATGAATGAATGAATGGAAGGAAGGATGTGTGTAAGTTCTTCAAGGGCTGGGATATTTGTCCATTTTGTTCACTGATGCATCCCAAGTACCTAGTACAGTGTCTGTCTTTGCCCAATAAATTAAATGGCAGATGAATGGTGAAATTGCTTGATGGATAGAGACTGGGATGAT